ATAGTTTTAATGCCACTAAAGTATAGCTTGTGGGGAATACATTTATTTGTCCTGCATCAAAGTTTAACTCGTTCAGAGTGCCCTACTTTACAAACTCCAAGCGTTTCATTTGTCTATTGCTACAATATCGACAGCAATGTAGTTAAAAGGAACATGTCAAAATGTTTCCAAATTAACCACAAGTGAATGAGTTGAGGGATTTGATAATAGAGAAATCATAACAGATGTTTACAAAGAAAGTGTACTACTGTAATAATTTGAGCTATATTATTATAATTATATCATTATTAATTTATTTAGTTACCCGATTCCATATTATATTCCCTATTGATCAAATAATAAAAAGTGTGTGTGTTTTTTACTGCGATTACAAGCACAAATATTCATAGAAAAGGTTAAAACATTATAACTTTTTATGAAGTATATAAACTTAATATAGTCGTATGGAGCACGTAAAAACGTATCCAAAATAACCACAGTACAGCATGTAACTAAATGAAAAACTTTGATGCTCAAAATGTTTACGAAGAAAGTGGAATACTGGTGTGTATTTTTTATTTAAACTACCAACACCTGCCTTATACAGTATAGTTTACATAATATGTTTGTGTTCCTAAATTAATATTGTTTATGACCTTCAGACACGTTATGCTCCTCTTCTTTTTATGGTCAGCTACTAAAATTTCCCTTTATTTGTAAAATTCCATATTAATATTCAATATTAAGCAGATTTAAACATGTGCAGTAAAGAGATTAAATGAAGCAATCGTTTCACTAACAACCAATCCACCGCTAGTGCCGTCTGTCGGTCATTTTGGCCAGCCAAACACGTTCTGCGGTAAAACGCGGTGAACTGTTGATAATTTAGTGCGGTATGGGGTTGTACTGTGCATTTTGAATGGCTGCATCTGTATGTTTCCCCCACCTCATCTCTCTACATTGGCTTCCAGGTACAGCCCACTTCTGATTCAAAGGTTTGGTGCTAGCCAGAGCTTCCAAGGGAAATGTTCAGTTCAGCATATCTCCAGACCACTCTCAGACCCCCTGTTTCCACTAGGACATTAAGAACTGACCCTTCTGGCTGACTGGTAATGCCAGTGCTGAAGGACTGGAAGTCTGCTCCCAACCCCTCGGTGGCAGAATAAATCTATCTGCCACAGTCAGAGCTGCAGACTCACTTCTTCTATCCTTTCCAGAAGAAACTGAAAACCCATCTCTTCAGTTCGTACCTAACCCCAAAGGCCTGCAACAAACCCTCACTGTCTATTCTCTGATGCCACCGTTTCCTGTCTTAGTTTCAAGCAGCACAGAAACTCCTAACATCCTAGCTTTTAATGCTATGATTACAGTTATATGCTCTGTTTTCATCTTGACTGGATGTCATTGTAAGTTGATTTGGTTAAAGGTGTCTGCCTAATGAATAAACATAAATGTAAATTAATGTACTTTTTTTTCTTCATATGAGCTCACCTGAACAAATCATATTGTTTGATTCCTGATGTATCTCCTTGTTTCCAGCAACTACCGAAAATGTGAGCAGGCAGGTTAAGAACTTAGATTGATTGACTTGGCAGTCCAGGCATTCAGCACCAGGATTGATTTGTACATCCGAGTACAGATCTGTCACTTCGATGAGTTATCAGTTTCCCACCAAGATAATGTCTTAAGCTACAATGAACTCTGAAAAGGAAACTGATCCATTTACTGCACTTTAAAAGAGTAATCGGGACTTCAAAATTCTCTTTCACTGTAAACATGAGGGTTTTATTTTTCATCTTTTAGAGAGTAAATACTCTTCTTAGAATGAAGGGCTTTCTTTAATTTTCCCTGTACGTACACAGTTATGTTCAGTAAGTATTCACAATTTAAAGACAATACACAAAGCTTAAAACAGAACAGATGACAGAATCCTGTGGCTTGGTGCTCAACACTAGACACTTATGACAGAGATTTATCACCCAGGTACAGAAGTATGGTGTAAAAGTGAACAAGTCCTGTATGAGAGGAGCCGTTTGGACCATCTTGTTGAACCAGTTCTATACTGTATGTTACACTTATTTCTATGGGAAAAAATGCACTATACAGCTCGTCCTGTAAAGTTTACCACACTATAGGATGATTCCTGTAGTGCATGTATTCAGAAATATCTTGCATATAATTGGCATTACTAGTTGCAGCTGCATTTTATTGAAAGGAACCAGGTTTTGGGATTTGAACTGCCAGAGTCGAAATCCAAACTAAATCTCTCATTCATTTTCTAACCGCTTCATCTAACTCAGGGTCACAGGAGCCGGAGCCTATCCCAGAAAGCAAGTGGCGAAAGATGGGGTACACCCTGGATGGGAAGCCAGTTGATCACAGGGCACACAGACATGCACACATTAACACCAGGGGCAGTTTTCCAAGTCTACCAGTATGTTTTTGGACTGTGGGAGGAAACCCACGCAAACATGGGGGAAAACATACAAACAGGCAGCAATGCTTACCTCTGCACCACTGTCACCCAGTATTCATTTAGAAAGAGTAATATACTACAGCGCAGGTGCCAGGGACAGATCATGCAGAGGAGAAAAGACATTTTGAAAAGACATCTCCTTTGTGAGCCAGTCTGTACACCTTAGTCTGTGATATGCTCTCTTACTTTACATTGAAGTCCCGACAAACGGGTTTTCAAGTATTTCCTTGAAAGTGGGACTAGATTATAGTTTCTCTTTTTTGTTTTTTATCACTTGTGAATAATAATAATAACAACAACAATAATAATAATAATTATTATTAAAAATAAGTTTCTGAATGCTTTGGTGGGGAAAAACACAGGGGAATATATTTAAAAACATTAAAAACATTATTTAATCAATCATTAGCTGAAAAATGATGTTCCTGAGAGCATAGCTCAAAGTTTTTTGCTACATGAGAAGTTTAATATTTTAATATAATATTAGCTTATAATGCTTCGGATGCTATGTACTATGACAAAAGCATACAAATAAGATAAAATGCATGTAGTATGCAGAGTTCTGTAAGTTTCCACCAGTGCTTATATTTAGATGAAGCACAGTAACATACAAATAGACATGTAGAGGCATTGATTTAGTCAGTATTAGAAGGACAGGAACTGTCAAGAAGTAAATCTGGGACAGGAGGATTTGAAAGTAAATGGCAGATTATGTATCCTTTGTGCAGCATTCCCTGGTTATTTCTCTCCATTTCCTCCTGCTTATTTGTGTTCACTCTACTGTTGAAAATGCAGTTACTGCATTATTGATTCCTCTGTTATGTTTTAAAAAGCATTTAGAATCGGCCAATTAGTTACTGCTTAATGTAAAATGTCAAAACAGACCTATCTACCCATTAACTGATCAATTGATTATTTTCTTCATGCATGACTTGATGCAAGTTTAAATTTCATTGAAGAAAATGAAGCTGACTTAAGATAATACTGCTTTGTTTCCACTGGAGAAACACATTTATTTTGAATGAAAGAATTGATAGAAATGGTCTTGCTTAAAGTTGTGTCACTTTGAAATTGGTTTCAACAGGATATAAAGAAAGTGATATGCAATGTGTGTAAATCTGCCCAAAGTTCTCAAATCAGACTTGGGCTTTGTAAAAGGTTTGTATTCTCTATTCTGGAGAAGTGCAGCAAAGCAATTTTTATTGTAACTTCAGAAACAAGTTCCACTTTCAGAAATAAATGGCATACTGTAGATTTAACTTGAATTTATTGTGTGGCTAAATAATTTTTACCAATATCAGTTTCTTAATTCAAGGACATCTGATAATAGAGATCATATAATCACAAATGTTAAAGAAAGCTACTTATTGATTGTCTTTAATACAAAATCACTAAGCGCTCAGAAACTCAATGATTTTATTGTGGACCAAATAGTGGATTTTTGTCTTACTGAAATGTGACATCTAACGACTGGTTATTTGCTAACAATGAGGATGTACCTGCTGGATAAGTTTATATTGAGAAAGTTTGTGGGATTTTACATTCATTCAATGGCTGGATTTAAACAACGTAGCATCTCAGCCTCTGCTTCTTATTCAGTTTAATGGTTCAGTTTGTGCAGTAACCAGTCTGTACATTATTTTTTCTGTATATTTCATCCTATTTCATTTGGGGTATCAATAAAACTTTAGGGCATTGTACTGTATATTATTAAAACATTGTAGTTTTTTAAAAATTCAAAAATATTTGAATCATTCCTGATTTTTAGAACGTGATCATTTCATGATTTCACAAAATGAATTAGTGCTCAAATTTGAGTTTTACTAAACATGTTGTATGTTATAAATTATGCTTAGCCACAGGTATATTCAGGTTGTCTCTGTGTTCACATAGACATTTTACAAAATCAGAAATTAATAATGCTGTAAAGATATGTCATTTTGCAGGATTATGTCACAAGCATTCTGCAAATGATACGGTATTAATGTCAGAGATGGCAACAAATTTGGTGATAAAAAAATGATCATGTGACTTGGTCATTGTTTTACAAGTAGCTCGCTCAGGTTTCAACATTGACCATAGAGCTCTTCCAGTAAACCTTGACATTTGCTGCATTTGCTAAAGGCGACACTATGGAATTTCTAAGTATAGAAGGTCCATAATAATCCATCATCAGATTAATTTAAACAGAATTTCAGGGATTTTTTCTTAAGGTTTGTGTATTAGAAAAAACGAAAATATTTTGTTCTAAACAGTTTAATTTATTGGTATTATTGTGCACATTTGCGCACCCTGTTCATGTTCAGTACTGTAAAGCAATAAAAATGTGACAAATGAGTATTAGAACTATTAGTGTTGTTTTTGGTAAGTGTAAGGAGAGAGTAAGCCAAATAGGATGAGTATTTGATATGTTTACATCATGATCCACAGAAAAGATCTCAATCTAATAATTTCATTTAATCTAGTAATTTCATTTAAGAGCATTGTTCTATAAAACGTGTTCTGTGGAAAGTATAGACAACAAAACCAACATGGCATGTCAAGTAAGCTTATTTTATTTCTCAAGCAAATGATTGTAACACATATTATTCTATTTATTACTTCAGTTCATGGCATTTGAAACAATACATATTTACCTATTTGCCAAATAATAACAAATCTTTATCATGGTTGACAAAATATTTTGAAGTCTTCTTTTGAAACGAAAAGTTATTGATATTAGCATTTCATGTGTAACAATTACAGCGAAAAGCAAACACAGGATCATTGTTGCATTGCAATTGCATATTAAAGTAATTACAGTTATGCAGTGCCCTCCAAAAGTCTTGGAACTCTGAAAGTCTAAACTGGGATTTTCACATTGAACTTTAATGATCATTCTGCTTGAAATAAAACTTGACTTATAAGTACAGCTCCTACTGTAGATACAGTATTTCATTTTTAAGGGTAATTTCTGATCTAAATGTTTGGGTCAATTTAAGAATATTATATTGAACTATATATCAGAACTGATATTTCTGAGTCTCTTTATTTAAAAAGGCAAAAATATTGGGACATTTGGTTGACAGATCTTGTTGGTCATTGTTTGTTGTTGGGCAATTAGACACTTATAAATGAGCTCGGAATGTGTTTTTTCTTCAGCTTTTGGAATGAAAGTCAAAATGAAAATTAAAGAGCTTTCTGTTTAAGGAAAGCCACCAGTAATGAAGCTGAAAGAAAGAAAAAAAATCTGTCATAGAAACTGGGCATACAAAAATCAATTCATGGCAAAAGAAAGATATCACAAATATAATCAGCCAAAACATGGTTAACCAAGAGAAATGTATGCTGTTGATAACAGAAAAATGTATGCTGTTGATAACAGAAAAATTATCATACCTGTAGGTGTCAAGAAAAACCCTTACATATTTGTCAGTAAAATTATAATCAACTTCAGAGGTGGTATCAAGATGTAAGTGCAAGATGTAAACCTGGGACATGCAGTTTCAGGAGACCAAGATAAATGGATGAAGTATAATAGGACACATTGCTCAGGGCTATCAATTATCCATTGAGGGACTGGGTTGAGAGTATGCATGGTGGAAAGAGGCATCCCAGGATACTGGACAGAGCTGATGTTTCAGAGGGGTACTGTTGGACTATTTTTCTTTTTAGGGATTTATGTTTGGTATATTGGGGACTATGAAGTTAATATATTGTTTTGTGTTTCCTGTGTGGATATTTTTTTTATTTTCATTTAATGTGTTCCATGTAATAAGTAATGATAGATTGTAGTAAGAAGAATAAAACTTCTGTATTATGTTATAGAATTATCTTGTGCTGGTTTGTGGGTGCACCATTCAAATAATCTTTTTTCTGGGAACAAGGGTTCTAGCGCCTTTAAAATTGCTAGGTGGTGTAACTGGCTATTCCAAGTATACTGGAATTTAATTGTCACTAGCATTAACACACTCTGAAACTGGCTATAGGCTTGGAGTTAGTTTCATGATGGGAAAAGAACATCCACCCACATGTATGCATTCTTAGGTGAATGGCTCAAAAAATAATGTTCTTTTTTATCTCAGACCCCAATAGCTGAGATGCAGCCACACAATTAAGTATCAAACACCAAGCATCACTGTAGCTATTAAACATATGTGAAAAAATATATTAAACAGACATTTATAAGAAAGACGACTATCTGAATGTCTCAAAGTACCTTTGGAATTATTAATATTTTGTCTTTAATGTTGTCCATCAAAATAGTCACTACATTTGTCAGGTCATGGCTACAGTGTTCTGATTAACTCAAATTTGGACGAAAGTGGTCTGCAGCTCCTTAATGTTTCAACTAATCTGAGGCTAAAGATAAACAAATGGATCATATTTTGGCATTTCTGTTTCCTTTAACACTGCCTCAATGATTATTCCATTATTATCCCTTATAGTCAATAGTTGAGATTAACACCGTGACTATGAGTATTATTGATTGATATAAACTCAAGATACTTCAGGGTACAATGTTGTTATGTTATGATGTTAAAAAATGGGAATATTTAAGGGTGTTCCCTGCTATTAAAGTGGAACACAACCCTTAAATATAGTTTAAGGGTTTTGCTGGAGGTAAAACGAGTGAACAAATAACAACAAGAAGACAGTCAAGATATACAGTGCCTTGCGAAAGTATTCGGCCCCCTTGAACTTTTCAACCTTTTGCCACATTTCAGGCTTCAAACATAAAGATATAAATTTTTAATTTTATGTGAAGAATCACCAACAAGTGGGACACAATTGTGAAGTGGAACGAAATCTATTGGATTTTTGAAACTTTTTTAACTAATAAAAAAATGAAAAGTGGGGCGTGCAAAATTATTCGGCCCCTTTACTTTCAGTGCAGCAAACTCACTCCAGAAGTTCAGCGAGGATCTCTGAATGATCTAATGTTGTCCTAAATGACTGATGGTGATAAATAGAATCCACCTGTGTGTAATCAAGTCTCTGTATAAATGCACCTGCTCTGTGATAGTCTCAAGGTTCTGTTGAAAGCGCAGAGAGCATCATGAAGACCAAGGAACACACCAGGCAGGTCCGTAATACTGTTGTGGAGAAGTTTAAAGCCGGATTTGGATACAAAAAGATTTCCCAAGCTTCAAACATCCCAAGGAGCACTGTGCAAGCGATCATCTTGAAATGGAAGGAGTATCAGACCACTGCAAATCTACCAAGACCTGGCCGTCCCTCTAAACTTTCAGCTCAGACAAGGAGAAGACTGATCAGAGATGCAGCCAAGAGGCCCATGATCACTCTGGATAAACTGCAGAGAACTACAGCTGAGGTGGGAGAGTCTGTCCATAGGACAACAATCAGTCTTACACTGCACAAATCTGGCCTTTATGGAAGAGTGGCAAGAAGAAAGCCATTTCTCAAAGATATCCATAAAAAGTCTCATCTAAAGTTTGCCACAAGCCACCTGGGAGACACCCCAAACATGTGGAAGAAGGTGCTCTGGTCAGATGAAACCAAAATCGAACTTTTTGGCCACAATGCAAAACGATATGTTTGGCGTAAAAGCAACACAGCTCATCACCCTCAACACACCATCCCCACTGTCAAACATGGTGGTGGCAGCATCATGGTTTGGGCCTGCTTTTCTTCAGCAGGGACAGGGGAGATTGTTAAAATTGAGGGGAAGATGGATGCAGCCAAATACAGGACCATTCTGGATGAAAACCTGTTGGAGTCTGCAAAAGACCTGAAACTGGGACGGAGATTTATCTTCCAACAAGACAATGATCCCAAACATACAGCAAAATCTACAAAGGAATGGTTCACAAATAAACGTATCCAGGTGTTTGAATGGCCAAGTCAAAGTCCAGACCTGAATCCAATCGAGAATCTGTGGAAAGAGCTGAAAACTGCTGTTCACAAACGCTCTCCATCCAACCTCACTGAGCTCGAGCTGTTTTGCAAGGAAGAATGGGCAAGAATTTCAGTCTCTCGATGTGCAAAACTGATAGAGACATACCCCAAGCGACTTGCAGCTGTAATCGCAGCAAAAGGTGGCTCTACAAAGTATTAACGCAAGGGGGCCGAATAATTTTGCACGCCCCACTTTTCATTTTTTTATTAGTTAAAAAAGTTTCAAAAATCCAATAGATTTAGTTCCACTTCACAATTGTGTCCCACTTGTTGGTGATTCTTCACATAAAATAAAAAATGTATATCTTTATGTTTGAAGCCTGAAATGTGGCAAAAGGTTGAAAAGTTCAAGGGGGCCGAATACTTCCGCAAGGCACTGTAGCAACACTGTACCAATGCTCAAGATGAAACTATTCCACAGTTGCTAAATGTTTTGTCTATTTTTTGGACTACTAGAAACTGTTAATCACATGTTTATTTTACATACAGCTGTTAATCAAAAAATATTCTGTATGTGGCTATTTTAGATTTTATGTATGTTACATGTTACATACTCTATACATACAGTAGTTTATATGTGCACAGATCTAGATTAGAAATAACATAAAAGAATTATACTCCTTTAAATGAAACACTGTGTTGATTTTTCTTTTTGAAGAGCTCAGCTGTTTTTTTTGTCCATCCACGTGTTCTGTACAGAAAAAGGGATCCCATTACCCCCAGGTGACCAGCACAGCATTGCAGCACAAACCTGACACTCACCCGATTGCTTTTATATCTGTTTACAAGCTCGAAACTTAACACTCTGCAGAAGCTGAATTACAGCATCAAAAAATGATTTAAATATTATGACAAAAATAATTGCATCTGGTATAACAAAGACAATCCATATGGGTGTCAGGTTGGCTTAATGATGTTTATATTTGCATATAATTGCACTTTGTTCATTTATTTTTTTTGCCAACATGTATTAACAGGCTTTAATCTTGAACTCTGTAAAATTACACTCATTGTCTTACAATCATTTCATTGTCAAAGAAGTCATGTTGCATTATGCAATTAATTAATATTTTAGCTGTGTGAAAAAATGACTTCTTGAATCAAGCAGTTCTGGACTATGTGTTACATGCGAACCTTTTCTGTAGCTGTCTGAGAGCATAATACTTGCCAAGTATTATACTCTAAAAGCTAAAAGCTACTATAATATAATATACTATAGCCAGTTTAACTATGTGCAAAGCATGGGTAAGGCAGAAGGGTAATGTTATAGCTCATGTTATGTGCACAACCAGATTTTATTAGTATTTATTGAATCCTGTCTGTTTTTGTAAGCAGGCTCAGAATCAATTAAAAATTTCAAACCTTAATCTGCTATCTGGGTTTAGTAAAAACTTTCTTTTCTTTCTATGAATTATCTGTTTATTTCTTTCTTTTTGATTTTTGGATTGAATGTGTGGTGTAGGTGTATATACAGTAACTTAATTTCTACTTCAAAATACCATGACTGAAAGCTTTAAAGAAACTGTACTACTCACATTACCGTAGAAGCAGCCATTGTCTTATTGTGCAAGTCCTTCATGGCTAAAATATCATCTTGGGGAAAAAAGAAAAAAATAAGTTGTATAAAATCTCCAAGGGAGAAAAAGAAAAATTGAAGGCAGTTTTAACCAAGAAAGTGAAAATAAGTCAAAGCGGTTTTGCAAACACTATTTGTCTTCAAATTGACTAAGTTACCTACATCCATAAATTCCTTTCCAGCAGACACACACTCAGTGCCCATCTCACTCTGTTCCACTCCAGTGAGTTTTTCCTTTTTTCCTTGTATTTCACTACCTTTTTATGCTTCAGTCCTCCATGTGACCTGAATATTAAGGGCCTTAAAATAAATAAGAGAAGACTATAGTGCAAAGCAGTTATAAATGTTATAGTAATATTGTAACACTGCACCGCCATCAAAGTAACCTTTACTCTCATGGAAAACCCTCTTTGCAAAACACTGAGGGAATGACTCAGCAAAAGGTACACATTACAGGGCTGACGCGTCAGCATCAGCAAGAACCAAGAAAGAACTGAGCCTGAAAAAATATAATAAAAAACACTTCCCTTGAACGGGTGGAGAAGCAGTTCCTGGTCACACAGATCGTAAGTACTGTAACCAGAGCTCTCCAAGTTCCTTCCCCAAAAGAGGGGAAGTCACTTGGTTATAATAAATGTTACTCAGAGCTACCTGTACATGATGCAAGGCAGGTCTATACTCTGCACGGAAGCCCAGTCCATCTTAGTGCTCAGGGCATAGATCTGTCTCCCTTGCTGAGAAGCAGCAGCTTTTAACTAATGATGGATTGTTTCTATATTGTTTCTAGCTTGATTAAGATCTTTATAAGTTTTTAACATCCCTCCAAAGTTGAATTTCCACAGCTGTAGTTTACTGGTACTGTACCTTTAATTTTAATTTCTGTAGTTAATATCCTGACAACGTTTTACAGTTTTTCTGCACATCATGTGTAAATAAGGGAAAATAAGGAATTGCACATACAGTACAGTATCAAGGAACTGGCAGGAAACCCATGATTTGGATAAACAAATATCTGTGAGAGCTCTACCTGTTCAGAAGCTGAATTTGTAATTTGAAAGGAAATATGAAAGCCAGAGTATTCTGTAAAAAACATCTTCTTCTAGGAAGTGTTCAAAGAGCAGACTAAAAGGTCCTTAATTTAACCTCACTGATCTTCATTGTGAAATAAGTAAAAAAGTCAGAATATTAGCTTTGGAAAGAAAAGTCACAGGAAGTTACTTAAACAGCTTTTGCAACATAGGTCAAAGAATTGTATAACAGTATATTTTTTAAATGCTTTAACATTAATATAAGAGCATATTTATGACCACAAATATGGCAGTAATAAGTAATAGTAGAAACATTCATTCACTGAAATTGGGGTCTTAAAAATCAAATACATGTTGTATGAAACTTGCATTTTACAGTAAGTGCAAATTAAATACAGGAAACTGTAAAATAAAATTATTTTAACAGCTCATGAATTTTCATTTTGGATGGTGATTACCTATTCTTATTCCAAGATTATTTAGTAAATGTTATGATGTACTTAATAAAAAAATCAATTTAATTAAAATTTTGGATTCATAAGATGGATTTTTGTATGCTCTGTTAACAAATGATTAGCAAAATAAGGCTTGTTTTATGAATTTAACAAAGGATTATATTAAGCACATATTTTATTAAACACTCATAAACTATGTACACGGGTGAATTTTATTAATCACGTGAATGCTTTTCTACATAAGTCACACCCAATAAAGCTTGAAAAGGAAATGAACTACTGTACATACTGTAACAAGACCTAATACTGAATACTGACTAGAGCTAACCACTGAAATAATGAAAACAGTTCTGCATTCTAGAGCAGAGGTCTGCAACCCTAGTCCTGCTGTACCATAGGGTCTTCAGGGTTTCTTTCCAGCTAAGTTCTAAGAAATTAATTAAATTGTTCAGTGTTCACTTGCTTAATTTGGAGGAGTTAACATGCTTTCCATATCTCTGCTCATTGACCATTGTAAGCTACTTAGAAAACCTGCAAGACTGTAGCTGCCCAGGACCAGGGTTATTAACCTCTTGCTGAGAACGGTCAACTGGAATCCCATGTTTTGTTTAAAAAAAACTGTGATGTGTAGGATTGTATCTACATCTGGACCAAATCAAAAGGTGCCTCTGGAACAATGAACTGTTGGTCCTGTATATATTACTTCTTTCCTTTTTTAATACATCTGCTTTATTTTAGTTTCATTGCATCATTTTTGTTTTCATTTATAATAACCCAAAATTTAGACCTTTAACTGCCTTGGCTGGAGCCCGGAGCCCTACCACATCTTCTACAAAAGGCTATAACCTTTTGACATGCGTCACTGACTGAGGAAAAGTTAAATAATGTCGCCGCTTGGCACAAACATTCCAATTTATTATTACAAACTGCCTACCACATAGGAGGCATATATTAAATATATCTTCCTCTGAACCAAAATCTGCTTCTCCGTCCTAAATATGTTGTCCCACTGGTCTCTACTTCAGGTTCTACATATACTGTATTAAGATTTACCCTTCAGAAGTCTCTCTACTGGAGTGTACATTCCCTCTTTTCTTATTAATATTTCCAAAATATGTTGAAAACAAAACAATATTGGGGATATTAATTACTGCTTGCACTAAGGTGTTGTCTTGGACAGCATGCTGGAAAACCATGTTTCTGCATTTGGGTTCCCACAGATTTTTTTAAAATAAAAATGACTCAAATCATGATGCTATTTTTACACTTAAAAAATTTGTTTCAAATGGTGTAATTAAAACTTCTATAAACTTTTTTTTATCCAGAAAAGAAGCCATTATTTATTCATTTGTATAACATACTGGCATAACACCATTATTCTCTTTAGCAAGACATTTTGTAGTACAATTAATATGACAAAATAAACCATGCAAAAAGGAAACATATTCTCCAGCCAGAAACTCTATCCCACTGCACCCATTTTCAGTAACCCCTTTATCTTTAGAGCAGGGCTGTCCAATCCCAGTCCTGGAAGGCCAATGTGTCTGCATGTTTTCCAGTCCTCTTTAAAGCAGCAGCACCTGAAGTGTTGGGTAAAGCTGTTAAGTTTGCCAAATTAAGCCAAATTAGCTTATTAAGAACCGGGTTGGAAGGAAGACTTGCAGATACACTGTCCCTGCGGGGTCATGATGGGATGGCCTTGCCTTACATGGTGGAAGGGAGTCATAGCTAAGCATACAGTAGCTGGCAGAAGCTGCAAGGTAGGACCACTTTGGACCAGCGTTCTTAAATGTTTTACACAAATCTGTTTTCTTTATCTTGGTTTTAAGTTCACTCTTGCCCTTGTTTCTTATTAACCTTTCCATAGTTAGAGTTTCTGTGTGTTTTTCACTATAAGCCATAAACAGTATACTGTACATTATATACTTTGTGATTAAAGTTGGCAGCAGAATCTACTGAATTACAGAAATAGAAATGAAAGGAACAGTAGAAACCCTTTGGCCTGTTTTTGTTCACGTGTACCTTTAAGCCTGCAAGGAGCTGCCTTTTAGTCTTGTCCAAATGTGACATAAGGTAAAGTAAGTGAGCAATACTATTCTTTGGAATAAAAAGCTAATAAAAGTAAAAAAAAATCTATCATCTCATTTTTTAACTCCTTGCATAAAACAAAAAGTTTGCATTTGCCTGCATTGCTTACTGTTATTTAGTCTGTTTTTTAAAGGCATATGCATTCCTGTTAAGCTCTTTCAGGAGTCCAAACTATCATCAATCCTTTAATAAGACTTCTAATACAGTATGGTACTGTGCCTCCCACACAGTGGCTTTGTACAAGGAGTATTATATCACATCATATGTCATCCTTTAATTAAGAAGCATATTCATTACAGTTTTATGACAGTCAGCACTATTTTGCATTTGCTTTCCACCTAACTTCATACACATACATAACTTGATCTTAATAACCCTTTTCCATAATTATTATAGCTCCTAAGCTGCCAAAATTTAAATTGTCACCCTAACGGACCTTCTGCGATAGCTCTGCAATAGGGTTAACCCAGCACTGGAAGAGACCGGAAATTAGCAATTCTGGGAGCATTTCACTCAAGCTATTGATTTTTATTTCTCTCCCACCAACCTTAATTGCAGAAGACCCAGCGAACCCACATTGGAAGTTCTTTTCTATTTGTAATCTCCAAGGCGTAAAAAAGTTGTCAATAAAATAACCACCTCTTCAGCTACTGTATCTGACTTTCTTCAGACATGACTACAGTAAGTATTCAACACCCCAGAAATACATTAACTGTGCCTTGACTATAGATATTCTAGATTAGAAGTAATCTACAAGAGAGGCTGCAAATATGATGCAGCCATTATAACAATTTAAAATGTCTACCCAACAATAGAATAGAAGTCTTTGTGGTGAAAGATGGAGGCAATATCACTTTATGTACTACACTATGCACTTTCCCTGTCATAACATCTAAAATTTTCCAAAACAGCTGTAAATCATGTAGTGTATTTGACTCGTGTAGTTTCACCTCATGATCAGACTTCAGTTTTTGTTAGAAGTGGTGACATGAGGTTTGATTCCATACTGTACAACGGCGTATAAGGCACATTTGGCACAGAGTTCACTGATATTAGCCAAAAGGTGCAAAAAATATCCTGTATTTGTATTCTACATCATCACATGCCAATATATATTAGGTGCCATGATTTTCACAGGTGTTGCCATGATAGACAGCAAACAAATCTTTAAAATCAAATAAAAAAAGCAAAGCATTTAAGCATGTATCTTCAATGGCCAGTTGATAAGAGCCATTAACACATTAACTAGTAAATACAATGACCATTTGAGCTCTGTGCAGAACAAATGCATATACAGTATCATCACAACCTGGTGCTAAAGCGATTCTGTTTTCAGCAGACACACTATTCAATTCCACATTCCCTTCCTTTCTCCTTAAAGATATTGATAAAAAAGCATAAAATATACCTTAAAACCCATGGATGCCCTAAATGTATAAACACACAAGTTCGTCTGAAACATTACAAACGCTACAAAAATGTTTTGTGCTGGTAAAATTACACTAGATTGTAGTCTTTTTAAATAAGCCCTAAAAGCAGAAGATCGATGGTCTAAGAAAGTTTGACATTACAAAACATCTTGCAAGTGTTTTGACAAAAAAACTCAACCAAATGCAAAAGAACTATATTTTAATTAATCATTAATCGATCTTCTACATTCAGTTTTACTTTGAAATTAATTTAAGTCACTTTTTAAATTTTACTGAGATAATCTATTCATTATTCTTTATACCCTTACTTGAACACCCTTTTAACAATAATTCATTTGACATGCTAATTAAAATATCACCAAACTTTTGCTATATCATTATGTCATGTAATCAGTTTCTAATCAATCATTTC